GAAGAACCTGGAAGCAACCTAGATGCCCCTTAACTGAAGATAAGATAAAGAAAAGAAAATCAAAATAATCTTGAAATTCACATGCACATGAATGGAACTAAAAGAAACCATTCTGAGTAAGGTAACTCAGACACAGAAAGAAAAACATGATATGTATTCATATTAGACATAAAGCAAAGGGTAACCAGCCTACAATTCACAACCCCAGAGAAGCTAGGAAGCAAGGAGACCCTAAGAGAGACATACATGTTTCCCCCAAGAAGGGGAAGGGGACAAGATCTCCTGAGCAAATTTGGAGCATGAGTGGGAGTAGAGAGGGAGGTAGGAGAAAAATGAGGACAGTAGAGGAGGGGGAGGAGAACATGAGGGATCAGGAAGATCAAGTCAGGGGAAGAATACAGGAGAGTAAGAAAAGCAACACCATAATAGAGGGAGCCATTATAAGTTTAAAGAGAAATCTGGCACTAGGGCAATGTCCAGAGATCCACAAGGATGACCCCAACTAAGAATCTACGCAATAGTGGAGAGGCTACCTTAAATGCCCTTCCCCTGTAATGAGATAATGAGATTGATGACTACCTTATGTGCCTTCCTAAAGCCTTCATCCAGTAGCTGATGGAAACCTTATGTGCCATCCTAAAGCCTTCATCCAGTAGCTGATGGAAGCTGAAGCAAAGATTCACAGCCAATCACTGAGTCAAACTCCTAGAATCCAGTTGTAGAGAGGAAAGAGTAATGAGCAATGTGGGTCAAGACCAGGCTGGGGAAACACACAGAAACAGCTGCCCTGAGCAAATGGGAGCTCATGGATCCCAGTCTGACAGCTGTGGAACAAGCACAGGACCAACCCAGGCCCTGAACGTGGGTGTCAGTAGGAGGTCTGGGCAGTCTATGGGGCCTCCCTAGTCCATTCCTTATGGAGAGATACTCTCTCAGCCTAGATACACAGGGGAGGGCCTAGGTCTTGCCCCAAATGATGTAACAGACTTTATAATTCCCCATGGGAGGCCTCATCCTCCCTGGGGAGTGGGATAGGGGTTGGTGGATGGCATGGGAGGGAGAGGGAACTGGGATTGGTATGTAAAATAAGATTGTTTTTAATTTAAATAAAACTTTATTTAAAAAGAAAAAGAAGCCATGTATAATTGTACAAATAAGAAGGAGGGATAGAAGGAGGGTTGTTTGTTGTTTAAATGACTGATAGAACTGAATTCATAGCTTTTGCTCAGAGGGTCCTGACATTTGTCAAGATTGGAATGTGCAGATGCTTATCTGAAGAAATGGTCTCCTTGAGTTGGGTACTTGGAAGTATTTCACATTCAGAAAGTGTATAAGTTATATTTTAAATCTGATGATGACTCAAATAAAGAATTTGGTTATAAAAATAGAAATCATCTTTATAATTTAATAAAATTGAGAAAATTCTGGAAGTGTATAGAAATACTCATGAAATCAATAGATATTCTAAGACATGAATTCAGGAACTTGGGAGATAAGATGACTCCAGATGTCTAGCTAGCAAGAGCTGTAGTCTCTTGGGATGTCTGCTAGAATTAATGAATTCAAACCATTTGCAGTCTAGTTATGTTCTACTCATGATTCCATTTCCAGGTAAGAAGACAGACGTAGTGTTGTTAGGGTTACATGCTAGCATCCTAAAGAAAGAAGGGAAAACATTCTAACTAACAGACCCCTGCAGTGAAGGGGGAAGAGGAAATTCATGGAAAAGGAAACGTGTTGAAATTAAAGTTGGCGTGTATGCTGATTAACTAGCAAACTGAAGAAGTAATGTTTTAGTAAACAAAAAATACATTAATTGGAGAGGACAGTGAAATCGTGAAAGTAGGGTGGCTTTGTCTTCCCTTTAGGAAAACAATGAGGTCTAAGTTTATATGAGGAATTGCTATCTGATTGTGAGGGGCATTTGTACCAGACTACAGAATGTGGACTTGAGAACACCAGACACATTTATTGTTTTTTAAACTGATAATTAAAAGCATAAGACCTTTTGGTAGAAAATCAGGCAGTACAGTAAGATACAAATATCATTAAACTAAGATCAAAATGGAGTAAAAGAAGACTAGACGAGGCTGAGAGCTGAAGAAGCCATCGCCAGCCATTTCAAGTGTGTGTACCAGAACCCAGAGATGGACCCACACTAACTGAAGCAATGGGGATGAAAGACTTCCGAGATTAGAAATAGAACTGACAGCGTCACCGGATGGATATGCTGAGAACCACAAAGTGTCTGAGGATTTCAGCCTATCAGAGTCCATGCATAGAAATGGGGAAGACAAGTGGTAGCCTACTTTGAGGTGCAATGAGAAAGGAAGCTGACTTTCTAGATGCATCAATTTCAGGATGCAAAAGCCAGTGGTACCGCCTTTAGGAGTCAGTAATGAGGTCAGGCTGACAGGCCAGTTCTTAAACTTAGCCCTACTGAGGTGAAACCTTGATGCCTGAACATGGACAAGGATGCTGAAACAAGGTGAGAGGGAAATAACTCTGGGTAGGCCCAGCCCTTCAGCCAGGACATCTTCACTGATACTGGTCTCCCACTGGAGCAAACACATGAATCATAAGCATTTGCAAATCAACTTTCCTCTTACATTTTTTGAGAACTGAATTTTCAGCTGGGATTCAAGGAAAATAGTGGCTATGAAAATTAGTTTTCTGATGTTAAAAGGCCTAGGAATATGAGACCGTGTTTTGAAAAGAAAACCCAATGGAAACATAAGGGCTCCTGTGTTAAATAAGTTTAGATTCTTTTTAAGGACAAAATATCTCTTTTTGAAGTAGTTTTGAAGTTCCTATGGAAACTATCTCTTCTAGGCACATGAAATATGTACAGTTCCTTTTTCTGGTTGGCTTAAACTTTAGTGGTACCTTTCTAACCTGTTTTAAATCAAAGTAGTGTTGCATCCCTTTCTTTCCTGTACTTTTGTCTCCTTCCATTCCTATGAAATGGTTTGGTTGTGAGAGCAGCATACAAGAGGCTTGCCGAACGTACAGTGTGATGGAGTTCAGCCTTGACCTCCAGCTGTGTGCTGCTCAGCATGAGCTGCCTTAACGAATAGTGCAGCGGTATGGGTTAGGTTTTCTTGTGAGTTTTTCTGCACTGTGCTGAATTAGGTTTCCAGAGTAAAACTACCCAATTGCCAAACAGTGGCTAAGTACATGTCATTTCACTGCTGACTCCCTTGTTTCCTGTGGTTGATAGCATTATATTTGATCTCCCTGTTTAAAGAAAGTATACTTGGGGCAGAACATAGGTTATTTTTAAACCTATTAAATATTTATGATAATCCTCCCTAGACTATAAACTAAACATGATTCCAATTCAGGGAGTTGATGGTTAATAACATATGATTCCTACAATTTTTTCAGGTTTTTTTTTTTCTGTCCTTCCCAGTCTCCCTTGGTAATAACAGATGTGTACTGAAGTTATAACCATGCTTATTTTAAATTATACAAAATACCTTCAGGGTTGGGAAGATGGCTCCAGGTGTAAAATGTTCACTATGCAAGCAAGAGCACCTTAGTTTAAATACCCAGAACCATGTAAAGCTGGGTGCAATAGCACCCATCTACAATCTCTGGGCTTCTTTGGGGAGACACATGGGAGGTAGAAACCAGAGAATTCCTGGAGGCTCACCAGCTGTCTATCCTGTTGTATGAAGCAACAAACAATAAAGAGAACTAGCTCAGAAAAGTTAGAAGGTCAAGTCTGATGTTCAGAAATGCTGAAAACAGGTTAAATTTTTCGTCTCCACAAAGTCAGACAGAAATATGTGAAAGAATCCAAGAAAGGACATGAAATCAAATCATGAACTGCAGCCGAACTCCTGAAGTCAGCAACGGGAGTGGATGGAGAGGTCACATACTTAGAGTGATCTGGGAAAGTCTCTGTAAAGGATGCTGTGTTAAAACTGGACGTGGAAGACAAGAAGGCGCCATCTAGAGGAAGACGATAGATTTACAGCAGAAAGAACCCTGAAAGTGAATCCCAGAGATGATAACTTTCCCAGAGCTCTTGTCACACGCAGCAGAGCCAGAACAGACCTGTCTGCTCATCTTAACACTTTTTAGCATGAACTGAACTTCTTCAACTGCCAATTTTTTCTTAGTTATTTGAAGGAAATATTTCACATATTCCTTACTTGGAATGTATGTTTCTTCCTAAGTATTGAAGGTTTTCTCACTTGATCAGTGTGAACCACTGATAATCATCAAAGACCAGAAAGAAGATCTTGGCCTCACCCTCCCTGGGGAGTGGATGGGGGATGGGATGGGGGGGTCTGGAGGGCAGGAGAGGATGGGAGGGGGAGGGCACTGGGATTGATATGTAGAATGAGATTGTTTCTAATTTAAATAAAATTTATTTTACAAAAGTCTTTCATGAAGACTGATATTCAGAAGTTCTCATCTAAATTCCAGAAATACACTGAGGTGTACACATGCCTTCACACATGTACGCGGGGGGGGGGGGCGAGGTAAAAGTTTGAAAAGTTTTTTATTGTAAGAAATATTAGTAGTTTTTTTCCTTTATTTTTCAAGTCACTAATTTTAGTAAAGTATGTGTGCTGCCCCACAAAAACACAGAAAACCCTCTATGATAAACTCCCACGGAAAGGAAAGACGTGGCAATAGTTACAACACAGGCAATCTGCCTGTTAGGCTGGTCATTCCAACTTTATTCTTTTTCTGGATGCATTTCTAGTCTCCCCTTTGCTCTCTGTCGGCATCAGTGAAGTGGACAGCAGTAACAACTTAACACAATGGCTCCTCAACATTGGCTTTTAATAATGATACATTATCTCTTTATTAGACAGTTTAATTTTTAAAATGAGAATTAGTTCATCTTCTTTCAAGTAGTAAAGTATTTTGGGCTCAATATTAGCCATGGAAAGAAAGCTACAGTATGGTTTTATGCTGATTGTTTTAGTTATGTAACTTGGTGTCTTTTTCTTTTTCTCTGCCTTTACTTCCTCTGACTGAAGGATCTGAAACTTGAGCCCTTGGAAGAAGAAGTTATTGAAGAGAGCACTAAACCTGTAAGTGATTTCCATATCAGAATATCAGAAATACATACTTCGAAGGCAAGACTTGTTACCCTCAAAATCTAGTACCCCAATAATGAGTTGGAAACTTAAGTAATGAAGGAACACTTTTATTCCTTTTACACTTACCATGACATTTATTTTCATATGTATTATTTCTTGCTTTCAATAACAATAAAAATTTCATGGCATACAAAAGAGCAAGATGTTTATAAGAGTTACTAAATACTAAACCTGGAACCACAATATATAGAAAATTGCAACAAAAAAAAAAAAAGTTCAGCACTTTTCCAATTATTTTTCTCTTTGTTTAAAGCTCTTAATTCATTTTGCTTGGCTAATGAGGATTAGTTACTTGCGTGAATTAACCTTTCATGTACAAGATGCAAAATCAAGTTTTTATATACTTATGAGACAATGAGTTATTGAATAATTGAATATGACAGGCTGTATCGCCAGGGCTAAAATCTGTCCCACTAATAGAAGGCCTAGAGATTGAAATAAGAGACAAGACAGCAGATCTTTCATTCAACAGGAATGTAGGAATGCAAAATGCGGCATACCCTTTATTGAGGGGAAGGAGTGGGCTTATATACTGACTGACAGCATGGTGGAAAACTACCAGAGCCAAGAGTGGATGTTTTAAGGCTTATCTCCTCCCCAGCAGATGTGTGTTAGCAAAACAGGAAGAGTAACAATAACAACAATAGCCCCAGCAACAGCTTCAGGCTTGCTCAAGGTGCCTCGAGGGTCCTTGCAGGGCCCTACAGGTTCCCCTTTCTTTTAATATAAACTGACCTACCTGTCTCAGGCAGCAGAGGATGTCAGCATAATTCCTTACCCGTCATTGGAGAGGTCACTCAGGCCCATAACATTCCATCTTAGATTGGATATTTGCCCCCTTCTGCCTTACCCATCTCTGGCAATTAGCTCACCATACTTGGGCAGAGGGATTCTCTTGAACTAAAGACAGTAGAATCTGTCTTTTTTGAAAGCTGGCCTGGGCCTGTCTAATGTTGTGGTGGCATAGACAGATCAGGCAGATAGCACCAAGCAAGGGCTATGAGCCCCAGTGAGAGAGAACTTGCCCTTTCTCTAATTAATCTGCCTGCAAGTTGAAGTCCTTGTAAAAGGTCTTCTGTACTGTTAGGTGGTACTCAGGTTTCATTGATGTTAATGATCTTCATAGCTAAAGCATGTGTATGATTTAAAACTGATCACTCCAGGATCCCTGGAGAAAAGTAATATCAGCAGACACATTCTTAATTTTAGCTGGTGTAACACAGTTATGTGTGAAAGAGAGAGAACAAGAAGCCATACGTGCCTCCACAATAAATCCAATTGTTCCTATAGGAGAGTAATTTGGATTTAGTTTTAAAATGCCAATTTGTACTAGATAATTGAATTGCCAATTCACCTGATAGTTGCTCCACTGTGCTTGCAGCATTTACAGATTGGGAGAGGGCGATCCTTGAAACTATTGCTGCAGTGGCAGAGGCGGCAATGGCAATAACAATTGCAGCCATGATCCAGAAATCTCCTTTCCTCTAAGCTGCACAAGTTGATCATCTGTAGAGGTCTTTGGCATAGGTACCACCTCGAGTATGCAAACCATTACAGCTATTACTTCATATGTCCAGCAGCTAACCAGTCAGCAGGCCTGCTGAGAACAATTGAGACTTCCTCCAAAATTAGTAGCATTAGTTGCAACAACAACAAATAAAAAAAGAAGGGAGCCAGAACACAAGTGCCTGGAATGAAGGTGAAATTTTTAGCCTTTGTACCAAAGTGTAATTCTATAGCTGCTTTACCCAAACTATAATTAGTGATCAGGATAAAGGGCCACGTGGGGCTACTCAGACCCACAAGCATCAGAATGAATAGACTTCTGGTGAAGGCCCATCAGACTTTCTCACTTGTTGCTACAATCGAGGTCCCTCCCCATATGCTGAACCAGATGCTCAGGCACCCAAACAAGGTTATCCACATCCTGTGTAAAGACACAAACCAATCCTCAGGCCTACAAGCAGTGATAGCCCCCTTAAGTTGTATTATATACTTGAAATTTAGTGAGTTGTGCTCCCTAACCCTGTTATCCTGAGGATCTACTGTCTCAATCACAGGAAAAGCTTGTCTTTCCTTCCCTAATGCTTCTGCCTTTGTTATTAACTCTTTGACCTCCTCTTCTATCCCTCGCCCTACTAAAGGGATAACAAGAAAAGGGGTTGTGCCGTGAAAGACAGCATTTGTGCTCATCAGCTTCAGCAATTCTTTGTTTCAATTGTTCAATTTCTGCTTCCAAAGTATCTTCTTCATCAATTACAGTAGGACTATTATCTCCTAGTTGGGATCCCTCTTGTTCCCTGGTAGATTTCATAGATTCTAAATCTTATACTTCCTCAAAAGTCCTATTCATCTCTGCCATTTGTTCTTTTACTTTGACATTGTTGCTCAGGAACGCATCTTTAACTAGATGCCAAAGGGAAAAGGTGGCAATAGGGAAATTATCAGACCCCTCTTATTTATAAGCCTTCTGGAGATCTCCTTTTAGCTGTTCCCAATTGGGGATATTTAAGCCTCCAGAGTGTATAAACCAGGGACTATGTTTCTCTAATATGGCAATAAATTCTTTAGCTGTCTTAGTTTTAATCCCAGTGCCCTGTCTTTTCAATAGGGCCACTAATTGCCCACTGAGCTTTTCCTGGTACCCATCCTTCAATACACCCTCATTCACTTACTTTGCCAGCCGGTCTCCAAGGGCGATCTTTTCTTTCCTATCTCGGTGGGACCTCCACTTGTAGCACCCACTCTACAGTCTGTTCCACTAATTGGGTGAAGGCCTAGAGATTGAAATAGGAGACAACACAGCAGGCCATTCCTTCGCCAGGAATGCCAAATGCCAAATACCGTTTATTGAGGGGAAGGAGTGGGCTTATATACTGACTCACAGCACAGTGGAAAACAACAGGGTCAAGAGTGTAAGTTTTCAGGCTTAGCTCTTCCCCAGAAGATGTGTGTTAGCATAACTCTGGTTATTATGTTCCAGCCAACAGCTTTAGGCATGCTCAAGGTGCCTCTGGGTCCCTGCAGGGCCCTACAACAGGCAAAGTAGAATACCATTCGGAAGTTATCGTAAACACCACTAGGTTGAATATTGTAAAAGCATAAGCTGAAACCCAGTCTTGTAAATATCACTGTACCTCTAGTGTTTAGCTTAAATCTGGGGACTGTTAAAACTAAGAGACTAAGTTGTTAGTCTTCAAGATAGCCAAATTGGTGTGTAGTAGCATAGCTTATTTTCATAAAAGAAGAAAGTAAGGTGCAGAGAGATTTAAATTTACAGCTGAACTCTGCAAGCCCAATGGTGACCTTACACTCACACTCAACAGTCTGGTGACACTGTCATACAGTGTCTCCTGGATTTCTCACCACTGCAGTAGAGGTGCTTATTGCTAGCAAGGTTGTGGATTAACAGTTGATTGTTTTAGTCCGTGAGACTTTTTTTCCATTACGAGAACAGATTAGATTCATTGGTGGGCTTATTGAAATACAGCAAATCTAGACATCTTTGCATGTAACTTTCTGAGCACTGGACCATAACATCATCACGAATTGAAGCTATGTTTTATTTCCTAAGACCCATTTTTCCCATCATCCCAAAGCCATGGAAGTAAGATGTCATAGACAAAAATTTTTATAAGATATTTACTCCTTTAGTTGGCATTGCGAACCTGGGAGACTGAGCAGGGCCAAAAACTGTGGTTGACTAAAGCTTCGTGCATTAGCCAACTTTATTCAGAGCATCAACTTTATTCAAGCTATTTATATTTTGAGAGTTAAGAAGAGTCACCTGAGTAAGGTGTTCAACCACAAGGACAAGCCACACAAGGCAAAAACATGTTTTTCCATAGGGGCACATGAATAACAACAGCAGAAGTAAACTCACTCCTTCTGCTATACTAGGAAAGCACAGTCCAAGAACATTCTGTGTTTTTGAAGAGACTGAGGTCACAAGACTTTTGTCTTGTTTTCTTGGAGTATTCTCACTAGCACTGAGAATTCTCACATGACTCTATTCTTGACCATGTTCTGACAATAAGACTATTTGGTATATTTCAATTTTGTGCTACAAGTACCACTATTTCAGTTTTATGTATTCAGACTTAAGGAAAAACAAATACCTTGTACAAGTGAAACCAGTTCATTTGTACTTATGCTCTCTGTTCTTGAGAAAGAAGGAATGAGAAGCAAAATGGTAGAAGCAAATATAAGAAAACTCTTTAACTGTCCAGTACTCTCTATAGCTCTCAGAGTGCTTCAGATCTGCAGTGAATACATACATGGAATGGGCTAAAGGAGATTCACTAATAGTCACTTGCTAAAAAGCAAAAGCATCTTTCATTTTAATCACCTCACCAAAACAAAAAACTTAAAGACCATCTATATGTATCAGTGAAAAGATCTAAGTTTGTGAATACTATTTGTTAGGAAACAGTTGAGAAGGAAACAACCAACTAAACTAGACTCAGTAATAAAATGTGAGAAAGAATATTACAGATGAATATACATTTTCACAAGGAGACATGATCTAATATATGGGACCAGAGAATGAATCCAGAATTATATATTTAAGACAAATCCACAAAGAAGGGAGTATAAGAATCACAGGGGATGGAGGACACCAAGAAAACAAAGCCCTATAAATCAACATGTTCAAAGCCCATGTGAACTCACAGAGACTGGGGCAGCATGCATGGGGCCTGCACTGGCCTGCACCAGATGCCTGTGCTTGTGTTATAGCTTCCAGTGTAGAGTTTTTATGGAATTCCTGAGTAGGGAATGCATGAGTCTATGATTCTTGTGCCTTCCGTTGGGCCCTTTTCCTTCTTTATTTGTCTTTTCTAATTCCTACGTGGTAGTTTTGTTTTGTCTTATATTTTATTTTATTATCTCTTAGAAGCTTTTTTGTTTTCTAATGAGAGACAGAAAGGGAGTGGATCAAGATGGGAGAGGAGGAGGGAAGAGACTAGAAGGAGTCGAGGGAGGGGAACTATAATCTGTATATATTATGTGATTTTTAAAAATCTGTTTTCAAAAGGAAAAGGGAAGGTGAAAATAAAGACGTGGTTACAATGTACTTTACTTCTGAGGACATACTCAGGATAGAATTGTGGTAGGCAGAACATGTAGTAAATAGAATAAAGCAATAGATATTTATTCCAGATATAGTCTAAATAAGCATGCATGTTGCACCAATTTTCTGCTTAGCAATTCAACCCCAAACTTGAGGGACTTGGAAACAATAGCCACAATTTTATGGGCAGAAAAATTAGATGGGGATCAGTGGCATGGTTCTTGTGATGCCCTCATGGCCCCTTTAGGTGTCTATGACAAGTTGTGCATCAGCTTTGTTGGTGTTGGCCAAGCCTTTCATGCGTGTAGAGGCTCAGAACTGCTCTTTGTGGGCTTAATTCATAGTCTAGCACCTGTTTTGTTTTGTTTTGTTTTGCATAAACTTGTATTGAAATTGGGTCCATCCCATTTATTTATGTAACAGCTGTGGTCACTCAATAACAGACTTGAGGAGTTGATATAGAAAGCAAGTAACACCCAAAGCCTGAAATATTTGCTGTCTGTTTACAGAAAACCTTGTTGAGCCTGCTCCATCAGGTCTTGTTCACATGACAATCTCAGGAACCTGAGTTGTGTTCTAACAGTTCTTGGTTCCTTATTTGAACCTGTAATGTACTGTCCCTTCTGCAGCGTTCAGTTATCGAAAGCAGGTCAGAAAGATAACCCAGGTCCCAGGTGAAGGAAACAGAAGTGAGAATTTCATGGGTGGAGCAGAAATGTTGCATTCCAGGGGGGCCAGTAACTTTTGGGGTAATGGTCTGGACATTTTCAGGATTCATCCTACTGAATCATATAAGGATTGCTTTCAAACTGAAAGAATTAAAGGGAAACCAGTGCATAGAAGTCTAGAGTTCACATTGATACCAAAGATAGCCCCTGAGAAATTCCCGACCCAAGGAGTCTGTGGAAGGACATGTCCATCATCACTTTGCTGGAAGTTAACTCTATTTAGTTATTAATGCAAAACCAGGTTCCTGGGATAATCACACAACGAGCTGACTGATCACACAAAACCTTGGGAGCTATTCACAGGTTGCATCTTCTGATTTTTGATCTCTGACTATGAGAGGAAATAAAACAAAGGTCAGTTGGGGTATTAAACTCGAGTGGCTATTTATGGAAATGAATGGAGCAACATAATAGAATGGTTCCAGTACACTTTTAAACTATTATTTTTCCAGTAAAAGCCCACACAGTGAGACCCATAGCCTTCTCATCTTGAGTCTCTCTCATTCCCAAGATAGATCTTCCTCCTACCAAATGAAAAGAAACCAAAAAAGAATGTAATGGCTCACGTCCTTCATAACTTTAGGCTCAAATGTGTTATCTAGGACTTCTGTTTGAATACTTGGTTAAATTAAAAAAAAAGCATCAAGTGATTGTATCTAAATGCAAGGAAAGTTGTGATGGAAGAGGAATGAACATTATGTGGGGTCTAACCATCTAATCCCCATAGGGTACCTCCTCTAGAACACTGGAAACCCCGCTACAAGGGGCCACACAAAACTCTCCTTAGTTGCTCCTTTAGCTCAAAATCTGGGATCAATGGATATTAAGTCCTATTTGTTAGAAATTAGTCTCTGGAGGTCTGGAAAACCTGAATTTTAGATAAAATAAACAGAGAGAGAGAGAGAGAGAGAGAGGAGAGAGAGAGACGGGGGGACGACACAGTAATCAAACTAGGCTGTAAGGCATGAATGGGGTGGGTGGACGAGAAACACACAGCCCTCGCTGCTTGATTACAACAATGAATTCAAGCTGAGAAACATTTTTCAGCTAGGAAATTCTATGATTAGACTCTGGGTCTCAATTCTTGGAATAGCCTTGCCACCCAATTGTTTTTGTGAATTCTTTTTTTCTTGGTCCAATTAACCTCTGTGATCGTCTATAACAGCCAACTGAAGAAATCATCTTCCTGGGAGTGGGGGAAGGTTATACACTATTCATAGCCTGTTGGGTGTGCATATATACTTGTGGACACAAATATAGTTTTAACCAGATGAAGAATTTCATTACTGAATTAGTATTTCAGTGGCAGTGCAATACTTTTCCCTCAAAAAAAAAAAAAAAAAAAAAAAAAAAGATAGACTTAGCATTTACTTACCTGTCATCAACCTCATGTGTGTGAGCTAATGTCATTACCTGGACACAGGTTTTAACCTTATTTTGCTAAGCCCTTTAAAAGCAGGAAGGTGTGTGTGTGTGTGTGTGTGTGTGTGTGTGTGTAGCACTGGGAATTGAGCTAGGACTGATGCATTCCAGGCAGGCATTCTACCACTGAACTAAATCCCCGGTCCTAGATGCCTATCTTTATCCATCACTGCATACTTAGAACCCTGCATGTAGTATTTACTGTGACAAAGTAAAAAAAAGCACTTATTGGCATCCCTGTCACTGTTCTACTGCTAAGAACAGACACCATGACCGAGCCAACTTTTATAAAAGAAGCCATTTAATGGGGACTTGCTTAAACTTTCAGAGGCTTAGCCTGTTAGTTACCATCAAGGAAGGGAGCCCAGGTGCATACATCGTGACACTCATGGTGTTGGAACTAATCTGCAGTGGGGGAGGGGGGTAGAGAGGGAGACTGGGTCTGGCTTGTGCTTTTGAAACTTCAAAGCCCACCCCAGTGACACAGGCCAAAAAAGGCTACACCTACTTCAACAAAGACACGCTTCCTGTTCATTCTGTTCCTTTCCAGTAGTACCCCTCCCTTGGTAACTCCATATGAAGCTATAGGGGCAATTCTTATTCAAACCACAACAGGATATATTTAGTGCCTTTCATAGTTCTTACAATGTAATCGGTGTTTAACAAATAGCAGCTATTTAACAAGCACTGAGAAATTGGATGGAATAGGGAACAGAAGATGGGGTTTAACTGTAGTCGCTATGCTACGTGGCTAGCAATATTGGGCAAGTTTTGTTGGTATTCCATATAATTCGTGTGAGCTGTGTTTTAAATTTGCTTTTGCACTTTTTTGAGGCTTATTTTCATACTTTTTAAGTTTTCCCCCCTCAATCCTTGCAATAGAAGAAGAGATTAATATTGAGTCCTATACTTCCGTGAGGCACATGAGCAGATAGCTAGGCAATTGTCTAGGGAATTGAAACCACAATTATTATAATGGTAATAAGATTTTTCAGGAAAAGCAGTTAGTAGCAAACCCACTGTGAGCCATTAAACAGGGTATAGTAGCAACTTTTCTTGTTGCTATGGCAAAATATTTGACAGAAGCAACTTAAGGAAGACATGACTATTTATTTGGCCTTATTGTTTTGAGGGTGCACTCTATCATGACAGAAAAGTAACAGAAGCAGACTCGAGGCAGCTGGTGCTATTGTGTCCACAGCCTGGGTGTAGAAACAGATAAGTGCTGTTGCCCAGCTTGCTCTCTCTCTCCTTACTCCAGTACCCCAGCTCCAGAACGGTGGGCCACACTTAAGCTGGGTATTACTTGCTAAATTAGCCCAATACAGAAACTCCATCACAGATCATGTCCAGAGGTTTGTCCCTTACCTGGTTCTGGATCTGGTCAAGTTGACAGTACGGAGCATCACAGTGTTATGGTATCCTGAATAGCACATGTTGTAAATGAGTAATATTTGATAGTCCTTTAATAATGATACAGCCTTAGAAATGCACTAGTAAGCCCACAGTTTTAAAAGTAACTTTGATTATAATGATTGTCACAGTATCTGATACCAGAAAAATATCCAAGAAGCTGTGCAGATTACGATAGAACTTCTCTTTAAAACTTGGTATCTCTCGGGTGGTGGCAATGACTCGGCTGCTTGTCAAGTGCACACTGGGAAGATTTTAGGGTACCAGTGCCTGGGTCAGCCATCTCTGCCCCATGAGACTTACTCTTGAAAGCCCCTCCGTGATTCTAACTGCATCTATTGCTTACTTTTAAAGAAAAGGGCGCCTCGGTGCAGAGCGCTTCTTTAGCTTCTCTTGCTATGAGTTTGGGGGCTTTTGCGTGACTTGAGATAAGGAATAGTCACGGCATTCCCTAGTCAGTTTCTGGCTGGCAGTCGTGATTGCCAACTCCCTTTCCTCCACAGCACATCATGCTCGTGCAGCGCCAGATGTCCGTGTCAGAAGACGATCTGGAAGAGTTCCAGCTTGCTCTGAAACACTATGTGGAGAGCGCCTCAGCCCAAAGCGGGTGCCTGCGGTAAGTGTTCAAGTGCAAGCCCCCACCGCTCTACACGGGTGGTGGACATGGGAGTTTAGGGAGGATGCAGGTGCCAGAGCACAGGCATCTCCAAACCCTCCTGTTCCATTCTGCAGGGCAGTCCAGCCCTGGCATTTGCAGAGTTGAGCAGGATATTTTCTGTTTGATCTTGGAAGCAGAGTTGATTTAATCATTAGGCATACCCAGGGAAATAAAGCGGAGAGCCATCTAAATGAGAAGGGTTTCAAATAGATTGTGACTTCCCCTTTGCACACAGGCCACCAGCGTACATTGAGAACCATCTGTGTAGACAAGATGTCTGGCCTCCATTACCCTGTGGACTAATGACCATTTCCACGATTGTGAGAAAAACAGGGCTCTCCAAAATTAAGATTTCAGACCTCGGTTGTTTCAAAACAGCAGCAGCAAGATCTTTTTTTTTTTTCTTCCTTCATTCCATGGTTTCCTCTCCAGTGTTGTGGAAAGACCCATAAAGACCCACCTCATCTGTAGTTTCCAACTACCACTGGTCCAATAAACCAATACTAGGAAAGTTGTCCACAAACAATGGTAGAATTACTATCATGAGGACTCTGCAGTACCTCTCCCAGGAGTACCCTGTCAACTGCCAGATTATTTGCCTAGATTTTATGAGTTTTCTGCCCTCAGACCCAGAAGCCCACAGGCACAGCCATCTAGCAATAAACCACCATCCTCTGTCCCTCCTTACCATGCCACAGGCCTGACCAGGCTCTTTCAAAAGTACACACCCAGCTGGTCTCTTGTGACGAATCAGAAGTCACAGCACAGATCCCAACTTACCTGTGTTCAGGAAACTTCCACAGCAATCTCCCTCTACCTGTGAGCTCATTTGAACTGCATTCCCTAATGTTTTCAATGCTCATGGAAAGTGCTTTAGCAGATGTGTGTTTTTGAGGTATACATTTGTGTGTGCATAAAAACACATGTGTTATGTCTTTGTTTTGCTCTTCTGTGTGGCAGGTAATTAATTTTTATTTATGCTCAAGCCTAACTTTAGGTCTTTGAAGTAAACTAGAATTAAACTTGGATTAAAGCTAGGATTATGAAAGGTGTTGGTGACGCACGCCTTTAATCCCAGCACTCAGGAGGCAGAGGCAGGCCGATCTCAATGAGTTTGAGGCCAGCTTAGTATACTAAGTTCCAGGACGGTCTCCAAACCAATGCAAGAGAAAATCTGTCTTGAAAATCCAAGAAAAAAGAAAAGAAAGAAAATCTAGGATTGTATAGATTTGTGTTTTAGGGATTCTCATTGTCTGTGAACCTCACTTTTCACCATCGAGAACCTCATGGAGGCAGGCCTGCTCACACAGGTCTGTGATCCCAGCTACTTGAGGCAGAAAGATAATTAGTTCAGGGATTGCCTAGGTAACAGGATGAGTTTAAGTCCATCCTGACAATTTTAGTGGGACCTTGTCCCAAACACAGTATTAGGAAAGAAACTCAGAAGTAGAATAGTTGCCTAACATGTATTCGGCCCTGATTCAATCCCCAGTCTCTCTCTCTCTCTCTCTCTCTCTCTCTCTCTCTCTCTCTCTCTCTCACACACACACACACACACACACACACACACACACACACACACCTCCCTCGCGGAATATTTATGCATGAACTGCCCAGTACTGTATCTTCCATACACTGAAGACCATGAACCCTGAGCTAGACTCACCACTCCTTCCCGGCTGATCTCCCTTCTCTGCAGCATGAGCATCATTAACTCCCCGCACCTCCCAGTGCAGCCTTTGGGACACTAGGAAATGCTGCACTTCCATGATTGCTATTCCACTTCACATCAGCATCAGAAGTGCACAAATAATAGCATTTTCACCCTTGGATGAATTAGAGATTAGCCAAAGCAGAATAAAAGCCCACTCGTTTAAAAATAAAATACATAGGAACTTATGCAATTGCAGAACATTGAACTCAGTGAACTCTTTTTGAAATAGCAAGGATAGAAAGAACAGTGCGGAATTACTGGGAATTGGTTAGATGGTTCATATTTACTAAAAGGGCACAAAAGTCTTTAAGGCTCTGAAACTGCTTGGCTGGTCAGAGATGTAGTAGGTGACGCTTGTGATGCGTGCTGCAAACCATGCAGAACCATGAAGAACTTCCCCTACTGGAGGAGAGGACCGTTTCCTGAAGGCTGGATTTCCAGCTTTGCCTTTTCCTTCACAACACTCGTGAGTTTCCTAGTGATTCTTCATCCACTTACTGCTGACTCTTCAGCTCATTTCTTTTGCAGGAATGGTCAGAATGTAGGTTTTGTCAGATGTAACGAGTATCACAAGATGACGTCACAGGTGAAAGACACAGTGGAAGACACAACTCTCGCCTAAATTCGGTGTCTCAGATGCACCAGCTAATGGGGGCCACTTCTCTACTTCTGGACAAGTCATCAGATGCCACTCATGTCAACCCAGTTGTGATCCTGGGTGCCCTCCACAGCTGCCTAGTGCTGAGTTGATGAAGCTCTGTGGATTAGCAAATGTTTTAGATTTGTTGCCCACAATGCTGAGCTAATTCTCCCCATGCCAGACAGAGTGCTGCCATGGGTCATGTCTTACAAGATTAACAGTTTCCATACTTAGTTTTCACAAGAATTGTTACAAGCATATATTACATCCAGCTTAGGCTCTGGCGTGTTGAAAAAAACTTGCCCAAGCTTCACTCATGTTTAATCTTCCTTGTCAGGATTTAATCATAGCCGAATTAAAGATTCCTGGAGGTTTTGTGACTAACCTGGGGTGAAATACATACACTAGATCCTTCCTGTTCCAGTTATAACAGAAATAATCTTGTTACATTCAGGCAACTGAGTTAGAACTTTTGCTCTGAGTATTCATTAAGAAATTTGTAAGTCTGAGGACTCACAGAAGTTTGGTTATAGCATTCTGTCCATGGTGCTTTAAAGACCTTGGGGAGGGCTGATGAGATGGCTCAGTTCGTAAAGGCGCTTGCCACCAAGCCCAGTATTCTGAGTTCCATCTTTGGGTTCTACATGGGGGAAGAAGAGAACTGACTTCCAGAACTTATCTCTGACCTCCACATACCCACCCTGGTGTGCATACTTACACACACACACACACACACACACACACACACACACACACGCACAGAGAGAGAGAGAGAGAGAGAGAGAGAGAGAGAGAGAGAGAGAGAGAGATTCATGTGAGTGGGTATATAATGGCATATCATTTTATGCTGCTAATGTCCTCTGCAATTACAAATGCTCGATACCTATTGTGAGAGAATCACCAGCTGAGTAAATGTTGTAACAGTGTACTCGTAGAATCACCCTTGATGCCAGACAGGAAATAGCTTCTGCCTTCCATGGTTTTATCATCTAACTTGGGTATGGGCTCCTTACTCATAAAGGTAGAAGGCAATTCCAATCATATTCTTGTCCTAAAATTCTAGTTTTTCAATAAAACTAAGTGATCTCTGAGGCTACTCTCAGCTACAAAGCTCAAGAAATATAGTATGTTCATATTTCCAATGTCAAGGACCCACAAAACATGACTATTATATTGCAAAAACCACTCTTAAGAATTAACGGGGTGCATTAAGGCGTCAATCATCAATCTGTATAGATAAGATAAAATATGGTGGCCAAACCTAGACCTCGGTGTAGAGAAATGTGGGGAGGAAGCCCCTCCTGTTACATCTTTTCTTCACTGGTTTGGCTCTGTGGTAAGGCAGAGCAGGCACTCGGAGAAAGAAGGACGAGAAAGGGAGTCCTCTGCATCCTCAAAGAACCATTTCAGAAAAGGGGAAACTGAGGTTGAGGCCACAGGTGGTAGTTCTGTTGGGACATTCTTTGGCCCAGTATCATCTCACCATGATATCCCTCCTCTTTAACCCTCTTTCACAAGCTTGTGCATTGTGCTGACATGTGCCTTTCATTGGAAGGCAATGCTGGACATCAAACACAAGGTCTCTCACCACCAATGAGTGCATCTCCAAGGCTTGATGGCTTCAGGGATAGCTCACCACTTAGCCCAAGCTAGCCTCTAGACCCTGCTGCTTCTGTCTTCCAAAATGCTGGAATTACAGGTTTACAGGCCTTTCTGTGCTAGTCCAGAAAATGTAACATTTTCATAATACAATAACTGGACATTTAATATAATGGGTAATATTAATAAATCACTTGCAGGAGGTAATTAAATGAGGGGCCTGAAATGCTGTGTGTTTTAATCTTTATTTTAAAGAAAATAGAATTGAAATTTGCAATGTATTTGAGCATTAGAGAAAGCTTCAAGACACTAAATAAGCTATAGATTCTCTTCCTAAGAAAAAGTACATATGTACAATAATTTTCAGACCACTATGGAGGTTTATGGAGAAAATCACAAAGCTTACCTATGAACTTGTGGGGTAAGAAATAGAAACACCGTATTGTATTATCATACAGCAAATATTCAGAAAAATCTCAAGTTGAGCTAGTAACATTAGCACATCATGCCTAATGAAGCAAATAAAAATTTTAAAACTGTGAAAAATACCATACTACAAAAATAAGCAAAATGCCCTCTATTCATGCTCCACACTGCCTTGAGCAGGATCTTTTAAAACAATTTTTAAAATCCGCTGGGTGGTTACTGCCACCTGCTGGTCACAAATAGATCCTAAATCCTAAATCTTCATTATTTCACCAGTAAATCCTTATTTTTTGATCCTTCGTTTTGCTTCCTAATGTAAATATATTATGAAAGATTAAACTAAAAAGGTGTCCTGGAAGAATCGTTTTGAACATGCATCACATGTTTATCTTTCCTTACACAGGCTCCTGAATGCCATGAGCTTGTCCCTTCCTCATCTACCAGGTTCCTTTGTTCTGTGCTTTACTTGACTGTCCTCTGTTATGCTCCACATGCTGTGAGCAGGGTATTTTGTTTGTTTGTTTGTTTGTTTATTGTTTGTGTTGTTTTTTCAGACAGGGTTTCTCTGTAGCTTTGGAGCCTGTCCTGGAACTCGCTCTGTAGACCAGGCTATAAACTCCTAGAGATCCGCCTGCCTCTGCCTCCAGAGTGCTAAGATTAAAGGCATGCCTAGCTAAACAGGATATTTTAAAACAAATATTTTTTAACAAATTTTGGCACGAAAGATCCTCAGTAAAACTTTTGAATGGGGATTGGGAAGATGGCTTGGCAGTTAAGAGTACTGACTGCTCTTCCAGATGACCTGAATTTGGTTTCAATTATGGTGGTTCACAACTGTAACCTCAGTTTCAGGGGAGTATGATACCCTTTTCAACCTCCATGGGCATTAGGCATGTAAGTAGCATCCAGACACACATACAAGCAAAACACAAACAACACAAATAAAAAAGAACTTCTTAAGAAAAGTGTTCAAAGATGATATTAAACTAAAAATTATATGCCAAAATACATGCACTGGGCTACTTGGCTCTTGATAAATCCCTTTGTAGTCTTGTAAGACCCACGGAGAATATGGATCTTCACTCCCCAGCTCAGGAAAGGCGCCCCCCCCCCAAATCATTCACAAGAAGCAGTCTTGATGCACTGGGGCCCCGGGGCCCTGTGGCCACACTCCATGTGGGGTGTGGAGGCTGGGAACCCTGAGTACAGGGTTCAGACAGCTTTTATAGGGTTTCAACAAAGCCCACGCATTACAAACCAATCATCTCAATAGCATCCAGTGTGGACCAATCAATTTGAACTATCCAAGCCCGTGCTTTGCCCAGGAAGTCTGCTTTCACTAGGGCTCCTGGGTAGTGTGGTGCAGCTCATTTCCTGTTCTCATTCACTCACAGGTGCTGTCAGTAACCCACTCTGTCAAGAATGACCTTTTGCCTACTCACTGCTAGGGGGCAGAGTCGAGGGAGAATTAGGCTAAATTTTTCCGTCCTTACAGTCTGACCAGCTCAAATCACTGTTTCCTATACATAAAGGTAACATTGTTGCATACTACATAGAGGTTAGAAAATTTGGTTCACTTTTGTCTGTGTGTGCATTCAGTGGTTATAGATATGTGTGTCAACATGTGTGTGTGCACACAGGTACACAGGCAGAAGCTTGACTCTCCCTTGGCTGCTCACCACATCATTCATTGAGGCAAACTTACAGTGCAACTTGTCCTTTATGCTTTGCCCTCTGAGCCATACCTCCCCCCTTGCTTCTTTAATTTCCAGGGTCCAATCATGCCTTTTCTATTTCTACACAGTATTTCTATACAGAAGCTTTCAAATGAATCTCGCTACATGATTTATGAGTTCTGGGAGAATAGCAGTGTGTGGAATCGGTAAGTTGCAAGGAAAAAGGACTTTTCCTATTAAATGTGGGTATGTACATTTTTGTACCATGCATTTCTGCTTTCTTTTGTGATGCTAGAGTTTGAACCATGGCTTTGAGCATGCTGGGTAAGTGCTCTGTCACTGATACATCCCAGCTTCCTTCTTTATGCTTTGAAAATAGGATGAATAAGTTGTCCAGGATGACCTTGCACTTACTCTGTAGCCCAGTCAGGCCTTGAATTTGAAATGCTTTTGCTTCAGCCTCAAGTATCTAGGATTCCAGACATATGCCACCAGATCTGAGGTATGTACCTCATCTTAAAACTTGTCTTCCTGTTAAACTGAATCCTGCACTCTTTGGAATATATTTCAAGGCTTCAGATAATGATCCCACTTTGAGTTTTTGCATTTGACTGATGTTCTTGGGAAAGCAGAACTACACACGGGTATCTTGGGAAGAAGTGATGAGGACATGAAACTTCATAAAATATGAGCTCTGTGGGTACCATTTTTGTTTTATTTAAATGTAAAACTGTACACAATGGCTAATATAACTTTTTAAATGCCTTTAAACATTACAAATAAAGGAATAAAAGACATTGGAAAAGCTGACAAATCAACTTTGAAAGTAAAAATGATTAGTAACAAATATGCAATTTTAAAATGTGATTAAGGAACTCTTTTGTTATTCTATCTCATAAACAGTTCCTGATGGTTTTAGGTAGTATACAAAATATAGCTCTCCAATTATCAGTGGTTTGGGGTACTAAATATAGAAATAAAAGAATGCTGGGAAACTCAACTGATACGTATTTCACCTTAAATTGTTACTTTTGTGGCTTCAAGGAGCAGTCTTGGGCTGTAGCTCAATGGAGGAGTGCTTGTCCAGTGGTAAATAATGGAAGCATTTTGTGCTATAATCAAGATACAGTAGCAACAATATTATTTCAGGCAGAACCCTGGAAGTCACCCAAGCTCCAAGAATATTGGTCTTTTTAAAGATGAGACTTTTATTCTCTACTGACAGAAAATTTACAGTTCCTGTTTTCAGATAGCCTGTTCTTTAAACATGCAGATATGAATATTAAAATTATTTCATTTGTACACTTCTCCTGGAATGTGGGCTACCTCCCATTGTTGCATGTTTTGTATGCTTATCTGAAATGCCCTTTCTTCTAAATTTCTGATAACAATTATTATTCTTTAGGATCTATTAAAATTAAATAAGCATCTAGAGCAAACTGTATCTGGCCACTTGGTCCAAGCCACCCCAAATCTTGACATGTTGGTTGAATGTGCTTGTACTCTATTTGGGAAGGCTTTAAACAAAAATGCACAGCTTTAACCTACAATCATTTCATAGCCACCTCCAGACAAATTACAGCAAGACCTTCCAAAGAAGCAATGTGGATTTCTTGGAAACTCCAGAGCTCACATCTACCATGCTAGTTCCAGGTAACTACACTGGAGCATGCGCCCTGCTCCTCTGTGATTCTCCACCACCTTTTTTTTTTAAAGATAGCATGATCTCCCACATTTTATCAATGGCACTTTCTTTACTGTTCCTTTATCCAAAATTTGGGGAGAGGTAGGAAATATTTAATTGTCTTTTGTCCTTAATGACCACTTGTTTCTATCTACATTAAACCTAGTACTGGTAGCTGCTTGGCCACCACAATTTTAGGAAAATTTAGATGTAAGTCAACTCATATACTTCAAAAATTATTTAAATGTTTTACTATATATATACTATATATACTATATATATAATATATATACTATATACATACTATATTATACTAGTATGCTGAATGCAATATGAAGTAAGTGACCACAGAGGAAATGTACAGTGCTAGGAAAGTTCTTTACAAAGGTTGCTAAAAGGATTTTTATAACTGGGAGAAAGAACAGGAGGAGAGAGATTTGTATTGAAATTGTCTAAGAAGCCTGAACAAAGCTGAAGATACTGAGAAAATTCACTTGCTATCTACTCATTCACCCAGCTACTCACTGTATATATATTTTTACTGTGTAATAGTGTGCTTGGTACAGGGGTCCCTGAGATGCTTAGCCTATTTACTGACACCTGCTTTAACCAACCATTCTGTTAGAAGCTAACTGATATGCAAAGTAAAAACACAGTCTTTAAGGATAAAGTGGCGTCTATTCAGTATGACCAAAAAAAAATTTTACAAAGGACAGACACAGATAAAAACAAAACACAATTCAAGGCACAGAATAGTAGTTACAGCCAGAATTATATCAGAGTGGCAGGCAAGAATACAAGAATACTATGCTCCTTGGGGCATTCATGGTGAAGTAACTGGAAAAACTGACACAGAAAATGGGATTTCACAAGATCACCGCTAAAGGGAAGAGTCTTAATGGAGTGGTGGGGATCTGAGGCGTTGAGGACCAGATGGGAGATAAGGCAATGAGTTCTGGAATTGCAGCTGGTTAAGGAGACAGGAGGCCAGGTGGGAGAGATTTCAATTTAGCTGATCCTCAGTCTCAGGAAGAGCTTTGGTGTGCCAGTAGAGCCCCTGGAGGACATGTGTACAGAATTTCTCTCAATGGATAGCTGGATTAATCCTCAAACAAACAAACAAAAAAAGCCATGCACATGGCTGAGTTCCTCAGGCTTTGCAGTTGGAGTCAGTTTAACTATGGCACCTTGCAATACAGAGAAGGTCAGGAAGATATGGTGACAAGTTATGGAGGAATAGACTGAGGCAGCCACATTCTATTTGTCTAGCAAGGTTTTATCTTCACTATTACAGCAAGCTTGAACTTGCTGTTCTAAATAGGTTCAGCCTATTTAGACTGGATACTGGATACAGCCTTTGTTGATAGAAGGCAGGAAAACAGTGTTAGCATTTATCTGCTCATCTTTTTCTTTAAGGCTGTACTGCTTGCTACTCTGTGACACAAACAGTAAAACTTTTGAGAGAGATGAAGACCTTCTATGTCACAGATGCATTGATTAGGCATTAGGTCCAATTTTCATACTTTTGTGTTTTCCATCAGATCCATTTTCAGTTCCCCCAAAACTAAGCTCATTGGTTCGAAAGGGTGAAAGTACTGTTTGTTCTTATTGAGGTCTTGAGTCTATCCAAGTCAGAAAACATATGGGCAAAAACAGAGTAGAAAAATAATACAGAAAGGGTCGTGGGTTAACAAGAAGGGTGGAAGAAATGCTATTGTAAGCATTGTAAATATAAACAACCTAGTAAGTTTTCTGATCCAGCTTTACCATTATTTTGGATGAACTTTTGATGTGATAAACTAGTCCATTACTGACACACACATTACTCTGCTCCACTGTCTCTCAGTGTTCCCAAATTTACAGAGAAAAATTGGGCACAAATAAAGCTGAATCAACTCTCATCCTCAGAGGCTAAACTTCATGCAGTTTAATTTCTGTCCAACTTTGCATTAATTTACACATCACACCTAATCTCAGCAGTGATAAATGGAACTTAACAGAACATAATGAAAAGGTAGGCTTAGCTTCTAACACAAATTAAAACCTACCTCAAAGTTTTAACATCCATTGGAGCAGTCCATCTATTTTAAAGTTTCCTAGGTGTGCTGCAGGAACACAATACTGAACAAAAATCTGCAATTTAGACATTGTGTATAATTTCAAACAATAATACCACTTCTAATACTAATTTTATTGACTAGTTTTGTGCATTTTGTATGTTATGTCACAATAAAGGTTAGGAATGAAAACAAAACCATGGTCACTGCCTAAAGTTTAGTCTAAAAACTGAAAACAGCACCTGTGATATTTAGAAACACTGAAGAAGATACTCTCAAGTAAGCTGAACATCATCTAGATGTGAGTATACAAACCAAAGTATCTCCCTGTAAGCAATTAAACACAAATGCCAACTGAAGCATACTGGAATAAAGCAGTGTAGACCCACTAACCATGCAGGAGTTAGGTACTTGGCTCAGGAGCCAAAATATTAATACCATAAGGGAAGAAGGTACACAAGAAAGGTCTGAGTGCAAGCCAGTCATAAGCTTTAAAACACAGATTACTCATCTGCCTTTACCCCAGTGTGCCAGTTACCATACATCTTCACCATGGGTTATGTTCAGGTATTTATATTCATTGGGAACACATTTCTAGTGCTGGAATATAAACATATTAAAAATATTGCTTATATTGCATCTTAGACTCAAACTTCCTGGAGCATGTATGTAGGAGTACCTTATGTTATTTCCTAACAACTGCTAGTATTGGGTAGACTGCAACATGACTCATCATCCGAGTGTTGATAATCTTGCTACAGCAAATATTATTCATCTATAACAGAAAAGTCTTAGATGACAACGAACAAAAGCCTACAGTATAATTACACAGGAATAAGTCAATATACCCAAGAGTCTAGAACTGAAACCTAGAAAAGCAATTATGCAGACTAAAGATAAAGGGGATGACCTTTTTACAGTTTTGACTTTCTCTGCCCTAAAAACACACATTTTCATTATTTCTTCTTCTTCTTTCAGCTTCATGGTGGATCCTGAACAACAATTAGATGTCCCTACACATAGTCTTTATTGTTCCAAGTGCAAGTGTTCTTATCTAAAATGCAACCTGGAAAGTTCTCTGTGGTTGTCAATTGGCTGCACACTTTTGTTCAATGTGTTTACCTAAGTACACTATTCTGAAGTATATTCTGTAACTATTTTCAAGGTTTATTGTTACTCTTAATAATTGATGCTAATTTATACATTGTAATCAATCATAGCAAAATCCTAATATATAAAATGGTATATAAATAATGAAATTATGATAATTATGGTAAAAATACTGAGAACGTCTAGAACATCATAACATATCATGGAGAGGGTTTGTAAACTGGCATATGCTCCAAAGGATTACATATGTGCTTTGTGACTTTTTAGTAATACATTCTTCTGTGAAATATTTTTCTTCAATAAGGTACATGTTAATCACATGAACCTCCAACTATTCCCTTAATAATTCCTTTAACATTAACATAAATGCAGAAAACATACTTGGTTGTAGCCTGTAGAAGTTCTGCCCATGTGTTATGTCGTAAACTGGCTGTAGCCTGTAGAAGCTCTATCCATGTGTCATATTGTAAACTACTATTTTGCAAGTGAACACTCTGTAGTAACTTAGGGCATTTACTAATGTGACACCTTTGTTAGGATCACAATTCTTATATATAAGCTAAACATTATTGAGCAAACTTTGGGAAATTAAAGTTTATGGCAGAAGGCTTTAGTATATAATCAAATAGCTGATTATTCTTATGAAAAAAGGACACTTGCATATACATGAAGATTTTTAAGATCAGTACTTTAAATATAAAATTTCAACTCAACTGAATAAAAAAATTTAAAGCAAGAACAAAAGTTTAATACTGAATAAACCTACTTTATAGACTTTCCTGATAAACTACACAGCTCTGGTTACAGACTCTGCTATGAAAATACACATAAAACTATTACCATGTTATTCTCTCATACAAATGCCTTCAAAACTCTGGGTCTTGAGGGGGAAAAAACATGTAAAATAGTATGGTATTTTATGGTATTTTTTTTCTTTTCTTTCTTTTTTTTTTTTTTTTTTTTTTTTTTTTTTTTGAGACAGGGTTTCTCGGTGTAATAGCCCTGGCTGTCCTAGAACTCACTCACTTTGTAGACCAGGCTAGGCTCAAACTCACAGAGATACACCTGCCTATGCCTCCTGAGTGCTGAGATTAAAGGCATGCACCACCACCACCCAGCCATATTATGGCATTTTTAACAAGTGGAAAATTTAGGAAAAGACAAAGCTTAAATTAAAGTTTAATTTCATAAATATGAGACGCAATCTATAATATTATCTCAAATAATTAATGGGACATTAATTTATTGAATATTTTTGTATAATTTCAATACCTTTCTATGTAAATTTTCATAGTTTGTTAGACCAAATGAGCACATTTTTACACACACACACACACACACACACACACACACACACACTATGTACATGTGTATATTCAAGTCTAAAGATGACAAGAACTAAGAAACAATGCTTGGCTCAACTCTTTTGATATAGATATGAAGGCAAGAACATTAATGGAGCTTTTTGTACAATGATTGTTGAGACAAACTATGCATTTGTGAGAAAGGCAAAAAGACAGCAAAGCAGTCTTTGTGGTCCTGCTGTGACTACACACCATAAAGTTCTGAAACCCAGGACTCAACATACACATGCTTCTTGGAAATGCTGGTTATGAAAGATTTCAAAATACAAGTTACAATCAATGGAAACATTGTATTAACCGGTGCACTTCATATCCAACCCAAAAATCCTATCATGTGATTTGCATACTGGGTAGTTTCCAAAGTAGTATAGGAGTCTAACTGAAAAGGATCTCTGCCCAGCAACAAAGTTTGGAGAAAGGCCCTTTGGCTACAAACTGAAACATATTGAACTAGAATCAAAAACACTTAAGGAAAAAGCAAATAATTAACCAATTAAGTATAGCCAATCTTATCTCAGCTATTATGCATATATTTACATGTTTGTTTTAAGTGTGTGTGTAATATGTATGAAAATACAAACATACTAGATCCTATAATGAAAAGGAAAACCATAGGAGGCAACACACACACAATGATGCCATCCATACTATACATATCTCATTTCAAACAAGCAATACATTTATGCCTAATGAACAGGTTTTGTCTTTGTGTTCTGTTTTTTACAAATCCTCTCTTTGAGAAGCAAACCAATGAAAATTAAGCTACTAAAAGGCCAAGCTGGGAAATCTACTGTGGCAGAGGTGCCAGTTTGGTACTTCACACTCAGGACAAACAAGGTCGCTTCTACTGGTGGCCTCGTGATTTCCCAGTAGCTCCAGAGCACAAGAGTAAAGGAGTAGGTTTATGCTTACCTTTCTGTCTGCAGTATTTCTGACACATTTCATACAGTTTAGTGCATTAAATTCCTAGGAATTAAAAATATCATAAGAATATATATGTTCTTATGAGAAATTATGGGACTGAAACTTAATGTACATCAATTATTTGCCAATGCCTGAATTTGTCCTCTTTCAGAAACAATCTCAATTTTATTTTCCAACTGTTTGACTCTCAATCATATGGTCTGATGAGTGGCATTAAGTATGCTACATTTCAACTTTAGTTTCATTAACTACCATGTTTATCTCTGCTTGGAGTTATGAATCTAAGACCCTGTTGTTCTTAAGAACCTAGAGAACACTCCATCAACTGTTTGAAGTGTCTATCAGGAAGTCTACCATCCTGTCCATCAGAAAGTCTTCCCCCTGCCATCGTGTCCATCAGAAAGTCTTCCCCTCTGCCATCGTGTCCATCAGAAAGTCTTCCCCTCTGCCATCGTGTCCATCAGAAAGTCTTCCCCCTGTCATTGTGTCCATCAGGAAGTCTTCCCCCTGCCATTGGTCTATCAGAAAGTCTTCCCCCTGCCATTGGGTCTATCAGAAAGTCTTCCCCCTGCCATTGGGTCTATCAGGAAGTCTTCCCCCTGCCATTGGTCTATCAGAAAGTCTTCCCCCTGCCATTGGGTCTATCAGAAAGTCTTCCCCCTGTCACTGACAACTGTGCTTTAAGCACCCTGAATCGTTCCCAGCCTCTGGAGACATCATAATGACCTGTTCAGCTGCTGGTGTGAAATCAGTGGGAAAAAGGACAAGTGACATGACTTTATGGGCAACAAAAATTATATACCATATATACATCGTAGCAAATACTTTATATTTGAGAATCTTTACAGCTTACATTTCCATTCCATTATTACAAGTGATGAAAAACAAGAATTGCAAGTAGCATGCAAATTATAATACAGCCTTCCCACTTTGCCAACAACATCCCCACTTTCGAGTGTTACTTCCCAATTTTTGCAGGAACTACCTGCAAAGTTGAAACTGATTAGAAAAATTCTTTATAGTTTAAAATATCTCTTTCTCATCTTATGAGAAGCCAAATAGCCAACCATCAAAAGTAAAAATAAATTGAATCGTCACAGTCCATTAGTTATTATTACTAGGTCCACTTCATTTGCAGGTGTCCAAAATATAAAATGAATAATTCTTTATCTTCAAATTCATATGTTCTTAAATGCTACTTAAAACTTTGGTTGTTTTCCTGTAATATAGAAGAAAGATAATTTATCAATTAGACTTACTAAATACAGTTTTCAAAAATTAGCTTATTCAACCAAATACTATGAATCTACTTCTATGTAAATGCATGTTACTATAGAAACTATTAAAGTAACTGGAACTATCAAATACATTTGTGTTTCAGTAAACCTATGTAAACCATTTTAAATATAGCAAACTATATTCTAAGTCTGTTGTTCTGTTTCTGTGGTACCTAGTTTTATAAATGTTGTTAATGCATAAAGCAAAATAAGCAATTCTAATGAACATTGTCAAGCTTTTATTAACAAAATAAAGTGTTAATGGATTATTTAAGCCTGGAAATAAAAAGTGATTGTGTTTTATGTGAAACTAAAATTTATATTTATTCTTATAGACCAAGAAATCATATGTTCCCTTGATCTTCAAACAGGTGAGAAAATACAAGTATTTAATGCCTTTTTCTTTACCAAATATTCCTTTCTTGAGAATATTATTAAAAAGTCCATTTCCTGATTTAATTTGAAAACTGGCTAATGAGCTAGTGAGGTGATGACGTGGACAAAGAAAGGTGTTTGCTGCTGATCCTGACAACCTGAGTGTGACCTCTGGGACCAGTGAAGAATAGTGACCCCTGCAAAGTTATTTTCTGACCTTAGTACATGCGCAGTGTCAGGCATGCACACACATATACAATAGATAAAATAAAAATGTAATAAAGGCGTTTAACGAGCTGGAGGCACCTCAGTTATGGGATAATGATAGAAACAATGACTATAAACAGTATTAACTTATAGCCAAGGAAATATATCTATAATGGGAGCTTGTATGAGTGTGCTAACTGAAACACAGATACACATGCATGGAGATTAAATGTCAAGTTTCTTGCTCTATGACTTTCACCTTATTCTGTTGAGAAAGGTTGTATCACTGACCATGGAACTTGGCTGAGTCAGCAAGCCCCAGTGACCCTCCTATTTCCACAGGCACCCACGCTCAGCTTTTATATGGGATGTGGGGATTCAAACTCAGGTCCTTATGCCTGGTCACAGTGACCCATCATCCCAGCCCCATGACTGTATGTTTATGTTATTTGATTTAATATTAGCCACACAGAAGTCATCATCCTTATCTTCAATTACAAAACTGGAGTTCAATGTAAGTTGCTGCACAAGTTTGAACTAGCAATATGCAGAGTGAAGCAACAACTTGAAGAATTGTCTCTATCATAAGTGTGATGGGAAAACCCATGTCATTTCCGATAAGCATCCAGCAGGATGTGTTATATACTGTGTGTTTCGATACATTTGGTGGTTTGGCATGGAAATGGAAGAGGCTACTAAGTAGCAAATTAAAGAGATAACACGAGTGGTCTGTATTTAAAAAAAAAAAAAGACTAATTAAGCAGAATAGAAGCCTACAAACAGGCCAGGTACACATAGCACAAAATGTTGGGGCACTTCCCTTCCTTTAAATATTGCTAGAATGACTATATGCACACAGGGAAAAAATTAAAACAGCTCCCACTTCATACTGCTATAAAATAAATTTTAGGAAGATTATAGAATGTATAGAACTTTTAGACTGCAAGATGATATTTTCATAATCTTTCAGCTGAAGAGTTTTAACATACAGAAAATCAAAATTATTCTGTTCTGTCTTTTAAGTAGACTAGTAACTATTTTATGATTGATTATGG